TTTAGCTCCCTTTTAATTTTAAGCTGACACGTACGCTTGCCATATTTGTAGATTATGGTATATTGGCTGATATACCATAATGGCTAAGCCAATAAAAAGTCTTGAATTGCATTATCCAGTGATCTAGTTTTTAATAATAAGTGTTACCCTCTTTAAATAAAGGCTTTCATTCAACTTTTCGTGGGGCTTACACGACGTATTTCAAATTTAACCGCTGTACTATAAACCTGTGTGTTCGACCCTCGACGAACGCCTTCGATATAGCGTCACCCTCGATATAGCGTCACCCAAGAAACTCGAACGTTTGTCTGGGTAAGGGAATCCTTTTGCAGTCGAAGGAATAAGAAGGGTCATGGAGTTAAAGGATAGTGAAATCCCAAGTGAGTAAAGGAAATTCCTCTTCACATTAGTGTTGTGACATTTGCATGTACTAAATAAAATTGTTTCTAATGGTTGACTTGTAAGTGGTTGTAGAGACTTCTTGTTGCTGATAATTACAGGGAGCTGACAATATTTAGTTCTTATTAACCGAGCGGGAGGTCTGTATGGGAGACTCTTGACCGAGGACGCCAGTACAGACCGAACGCAGTGAGGTCTGCACCAGCGACCGAGGTCAAGATTCTCTCTTACAAACCGACCTAGCTCGGTTAATAAGGTGTTTATGTATTACATGTAGAAGTTTTAGTTTATTTCGAAAAGCTTTATTTTAACAATTTGGCTCACATTGAAATTTAAGACCAGCTACTTAAACAATGGAGTGTTTCTGTCTAGGAACTATCGACTGATAGTTGCTCTGCGGAAGTTTAATACCCCTAATTAAAACAAATATTTGCCGAAGAAGCAAAGCTTTGAGGGCAAATGTGCTAGTTTTAAGAACATCAAATTTCCAACTATCAGCCCCCAAGTGGGGTACAGGGGCAGCGACCTGTTGGAGGTCCAGGGGGCAAAGCCCTCTGAAGCAAAATGAAGGTAGGGTTTTTCCACTAGCTGAAATTGTCTCTCCTTGAAGCAATACTTATGTGTTGCACTATTCTAACTGGTAATAGTTAATAAAAAAATTATTCCTTTTGCCAACTCGAAGAAGATTTAATCATTTTAGTGAGTTCAATTTACTGAAATGTTGCATTAACCAGACCACCAAAGATGTGTCACAATAGGCCTTTTGCAACAAACCGTCACGTGACCGATTTTCCCTTGGCAATGCCATACTGGAGGGCAAGCCATTCAGTCTTTCCTTGACAACCAACAAAGCGTGAGTGGGCGAAGTGGATACAAAGGTAAAGTTAAAGGTCTTTTAAGGCGTTTGTTTGTCGTGATGTCACAAGAAAACAATAAGATAATATCTCTTTAGAATTTTTGCATACAACTGAAATAGTCTTGGACTGAAATCAATCAGTGAAAGCCGGGTTTCAGACTCGTGAAGTTCTAGCACGTACTCGCTTGAAGCGATATCACTGGCAGCGACCTAACAGAAAAATCTCCTTGATTACATTGTAATAATTTGACTTGATCGCTTTTTTCATGTGGAAGTTTGGTTTTAGGGTTTTCACTGGATTGTTTGAATTTAATATATGCGAGCAAGTTAAGACCTGACAAGTTTACTTAAAACAACTTGCAACGGTGGTCAAGATGAGTAAATTTCATTGCTGTGTTCCTGGTTGCAATGCAGATAAGTGCTACGACCGTGAAAATAAGTTATTGTTTCGCAGATTTCCGCCACACTCCAAGAAAGAGCTTAGAGATGGTTACACAGTAGTTTGCTTATTAGTGAACTTCCAGGGACCACTGATAATGTCATCAGCAGAAGGATAGATAAAATACATGAGAGATACACAGTCTCGGGTGAAATGAAATACCAT